TATGATTTGGCATCAGACCTAGGACTGCCTACAGAAAAGAGTATGTTTTGTCTTGTCCAGCTGATGCTGCCCCCAAATCTCCCTTGAGTCAGTGAACTTCTGTCCCTTCGTTCAGGCTGCCAGTGTCCTTTGCACTGCATCAGTAAACTGCTAACCGCTTTCCACTTTTCTGCTTTTGCCATCCCCACTAGTCCATTCTTGCTCACAGCAGCCACAATGACCTTCATAAAATGAACATCAAATATGTCACTTCCTAACTAACTCTTTAGGGGTTTTTCATTGAATGATGAATCCACATACAGTTCTTAAATGGTTTACTATTGTCCTTGCTCAGGCCTCCTTATCTTTCTTTCACTAACTCCATTGGATTTTCACCTCCACTGGACTTCTAGCAGCCCTAAAAAAATAATCTAAAAACCCTGCTATTGGGCCTTTGTACATGCTCTTTCCTCAGTTTGGATCACAGACCTAGAATATGCTTCCATCAAGTCTTTTTTTTTTTGAGACGGAGTCTCGCTCTGTCGCCCAGGCTGGAGTGCAGTGGCGCGATCTGGGCTCACGGCAAGCTCCGCCTCCCAGGTTCCCGCCATTCTCCTGCCTCAGTCTGCCGAGTAGCTGGGACTACAGGCGCCCACCACGTTGCCCGGCTAGTTTTTTTGTATTTTTTAGTAGAGACGGGGTTTCACCGTGTTAGGCAGGATGGTCTCGATCTTCTGACCTTGTGATCCGCCCGTCTCGGCCTCCCAAAGTGCTGGGATTACAGGTTTGAGCCACCACGCCCGGCCATCAAGTCTTGATGTGTTTGTTTCCTTTCTGTCTTTCTGGACTCAGTTTAATTGTCCTTTCCTCAGATAGGCCTTTCTTTTTTTCTTTTTTTTTTTTTTTTTGAGATGGAGTCTTGCTTTGTTGCCCAGGCTGGAGTGCAGTGGCACCATCTAGGCTCACTTCAAGCTCCGCCTCCTGCGTTCATGTCATTCTCCTGCCTCAGCCTCCCAAGTAGCTGGGACTACAAGCGCCCGCCACTACGCCCGGCTAATTTTATTGTACTTTTAGTAGAGATGGGGTTTCGCCATGTTAGCCAGGATGATCTTCTTGATCTCCTGACCATGTGTTCTGCCCGCCTCGGCCTCCCAAAGTGCTGGGATTACAGGTGTGAGCCACCGCACCCGGCCAGATAGGTCTTTCTTGATACCCTCACAACCCTCTCCCTCCCTGCTGTTTTCTGGAGAACTCTGACTAATACAACTTTCCCAAAATGCCAAACAAAATGAGGTGTCCCAGCTATACTCTCTCAGAATTTCATATTTTTCCTTCTGAGCAAGTCTCTGGACCAGGCAACCACAGCCTCTGGCTTCACCTGCTTTTCCCTTAGACCAGGTAGGTACTTCTGCCTCCAACTGCTTTTCCCTTAGAACAGAAGTCTCAAAATCTTAAAGAAAGAAGGGCTGTCGGGGGGCCAGACAGGTTATATAAGTGAGTGGGTGGAGACAGTGGCAAACTGGAGAGCACATGGCAGCTATTCACAATTCTAGCTGTTTGTTGTTGGACTTGGCTAGATTTATGGATTTTTTTCCCCCAAGATATCAGGAATCCTGATTTTTAAAAAAATTTCTATTAAAAGTTTTTTGTAGAGACAGGGTCTTGCTATGTTGGCTGGGCTGATCTTGGACTCCTTGCCTCAATCTATCCTCCTGACTCATTTTCCCAAATGCTGGGATTACAGGCATAAGCCACTGAGCCCAGCCAGAATCTGGGTTTTTATATGAGATCTCATTTCTAACCATTGGAGTTAAAACAAACAAACAACAAAACCCTAGGCAGAGTAGCCAAAGACAATCCTCAAAAAAAAAAAACAGCAAAAAAAAAAAATAAATAAAGTTCTTATACTTCCTGATTTCAAAAGGTATTACAAAGCTATAGTAATCAAAACAGTGCAGTACTAGCATAAAGACAGACATACAGACTGATGGAATACAATAGAAATCCCAGAAATAAATCCTTGCATAAATGACTAAATGATATTCAATAAGTATGTCAATACCATTCAGTGAGGAAAGGGCAGTCTTTTCAACAAATGGTATTGCTAAAATCTAGGTATCCACGTGCAAAAAATTGAAGTTGGAGCTTTACCTTACATAGTACAGAAAATGAACTCAAGGCCAGGTACACTGGCTCACACCTGTAATGCCAGCACTTTGGGAGGCTGAGGCAGGAGGACTGCTTGAGCCCAGGAGTTCAAGATCAGCCTGGGCAACATAGCAAGACCTCTGTCTCTATAAAAAAAAAAAAATTAGCCAGGCTTGGTGGGACATGCCTATAGTCCCAGCTACTTGGGAGGCTGAAGTGGGAGGATTGTTTGAGTCTGGGTGGTCAAGGCTGCAGTAAGCTGTGATTGCATCACTGCACTCCAGCCTGGGCGACAGAGCAAGACTGTCTCACAAAAACAAAAACAAAAAATCCACACCTCAAAAATGGATCAAAGACCTAAACATAATACCTAAAACTATAAAACTCTTAGAAGAAAACAGGGGAAAAGCTTTATGACAGATTTGGCAATGTTTTCTTGGATATAACATCAAAAGACAGGCAGCAAAAGTAAAAATAGGTAAATTGAAGTACTTCAAAATTAAGTTTTGTGCATCCAGGGATACAGCCAGCAAGCAGAGTGAAAAGCACCCTATGAAATGGGAATCTTATATTTGATCAGAGGTCAGTATCCAGAATACATAAAGAACTCCTACAACAGGGCCGGGCGCGATGGCTCAAGCGTGTAATCCCAGCACTTTGGGAGGCCGAGACGGGCGGATCACGAGGTCAGGAGATTGAGACCAGCCTGGCTAACACGGTGAAACCCCATTTCTACTAAAAAATACAAAAAACTAGCCGGGCGAGCTGGCGGACGCCTGTAGTCCCAGCTACTCGGGAGGCCAAGGCAGGAGAATGGCGTAAACCCGGGAGGCGGAACTTGCAGTGAGCTGAGATCCGGCCACTGCACTCTAGCCTGGGCGACAGAGCGAGACTCCGTCGCAAAAAAAAAAAAAAAAAAAAAAAAAAAAAAAAAAAAATTTCAATGGCTTTAGGGGTACAAATGGTTTTTGGTTTCATGGATGAATTGTATAATGGTGAAGTCTGAAATTTTAGTGTACCTATCACCCGAATAGTAGTTACACTCAATATGTAGTTTTTTTATTTTTTTATTTTTTATTTTTTGAGACGGAGTCTCGCTCTGTCGCCCAGGCTGGAGTGCAGTGGCCGGATCTCAGCTCACTGCAAGCTCTGCCTCCCGGGTTCACGCCATTCTCCTGCCTCAGCCTCCCAAGTAGTTGGGACTACAGGCGCCCGCCACCTCGCCCGGCTAGTTTTTTGTATTTTTTAGTAGAGACGGGGTTTCATCGTGTTAGGCAGGATGGTCTTGATCTCCTGACCTCGTGATCCACCCGTCTCGGCCTCCCAAAGTGCTGGGATTACAGGCTTGAGCCACTGCGCCCAGCCTAATATGTAGTTTTTAAAAATCTCTCACCTTCCTCCCATTCTCCCCGCTTCTGAATCTCCAATGTCCATTATGCCACTCTGTATGCCTTTATATACCCAAAGCTTCACTGCCAATTATAAGTGAGAACGTGTGGTATTTTGTTTTCTATTCCTGAGTTATTTCACTTAGAAAAATGGCCTCCAGTTCCATTCAAGTTGCTGCAAAAGACATTATTTCATTCTTCTTTATGGCTGAGTAGTATTCCATAGTGTATATGTACCACATTTTCTTTATGCACTCATCAGTTGATGGGCACTTAGGTTGGTTCCATGTCTTTGCAATTGCAAATTGTGAAAACAGGATCTCGAAGAGATATTTATACACTTATGTTCATAGCAGCATTATTCACAATAGCCAAATGGTGGAATATCCACAGATGGATGAATGGATAAAGTATGGTGTGTACATGCAATGGAGTGTTATTCAGCTTTAAAAAGGAACTTTTTACACATGATATAATGTGGATGAAACTTGAGAACATTATATTAAGTGAAATAAGCCAGTCACAAAAGGGCAAATACTGTCTGATTTTACTTATATGAGGTACCTAGAGTGGTCAGACTCATGAAAACTGTAAGTAGAATGGTGGTTGCCAGGTGTTGGGGGAGGAAAAATAGGGAGCTATTTAATTGATACGGAGTTTTTTTTTTTTCTTTTTTTTTGAGACAGAGTGTTGCTCTATCGCCCAGGCTGGAGTGCAGTGGAGTGATCTCGGCTCACTGCAACCTCCACCTCCCGGGTTCAAACAATTCTCCTGCCTCAGCCTCCCGAGTAGCTGGGACTACAGACGAGTTCCGCCACGCCAGGCTAGTCTCGAATTCCTGACCTCAGGTAATCCGCCTGCCTTGGCCTCCCAAAGTGCTGTAATTACAGGCATGAACCACTGTGCCTGGCCAAGTTTCAGTTTTTCAAGATGAAAAAGTTCTGGTGATTAGTTGCATGACAATATGAAGTTCCTGATAGTCTTAACTGCCTGCCATACATTTAGCTATGCATTGTGCTGCGTGATCTTGCTTTTCTGGCCACTAATACACTATAGACAATGGACTAGGCCTAACAAGCAGGACATGGAAACTCTGCCCAATTTTGCACATTATATAGTGAATAATGTAATTAGAATGATCCAGTTCAACTTTTGGATGCAGGACACACAAAGGCAGGTCAAAGAAGCACTCTTAACTGAGAGGGATGCTTAATTCTGAGGGAACAACAAAACTGGTCATGTCACCCGAGTTGCCTCTTTTTATCTTAAGCAGTTGTGAACAACATTCCTCAGCTGTAAGGCCTGTGTGGCTGCTGAGATGCTGCTTGTGTTTTCCCACTTCTTCATATGACCCTAATATAAACCTGCATCTTCTCTGCTAACAAAAGCAAGCCTGTCTTCTGTGTTTCTTGGAACATCCTCCCACCTTCTGTCTTGAAAGCTCTAATAGCTCCATCATACTGTTAAGTCTCTGCTTTTCCATGGAAGGAAACAATACTCCACCTTGATAAAGAATGTGACTCCGTAAGTCTCAATTTTGTTAAAGAAAAAAAAATTCAATGATACTTGCTGAAGCATGGTAAGGAGGACTTTATTCAGGAACTTCATGATAGGTATATAGAGCTCACTGCAACAGGATTTTTCAGTGGAAGAGAGATTGGGCTCAACTCCGAACAGCAGCATGGGCAATTGGGAATTTATGGCCAAGGAGCTGTGTAGGGGTCAGTGGATGGAAAATTACTAAGAGGAAACATCAGGAGTAAAGGAGATTCTGGCTAAATAGACCTAATAGGATTCTTGCTGGAGACAGGCCAACGTAATCAGACATCACCTGGGGGATGGTGGCGACTAAGGAACCTGATCAGATATTGAGAATAACCACATAAGGCGGGGTGGTGGTGGTGGTTCTTGCTAAACTGACTTAGCCAGGGTCTGTGCTAAAACTGGATTTTACAGGGCAGTGCACAGATGGGCCTAGCAGAAAATTCAGAAACGTAATTCAACCAAAGAATCTTTGCCAGTGTGTTGTATTTGAGAAAAATTATAAACTATACTTTTACCAACGAGATAGGGATTGTACCTTCTGCTAAAATGCCTTTGAATAATTGCAATATGATTCTTAGGGAACGTTCTGGAATTGCTGTAAAAAATCAGTACACGCATCTTATCCCTGCATCCTGCTTTTTTTTCCTCCGGATTGCCCCTCAGTTCATTTAGTGTAGACAGCACTACAAAAATCTTAGCGGGTTTCCCCATTCTGTGCAGGTTCTCCATTCTTTCCTCCCTGCACAAGGGAGAAAGCGGACTATAGTTTAAAAAGCAAGTGGCAGTGCTACAGCAGGTTGTCTGCAGCAGTAGAGATGGCCTTAAAGGTTGTGAACATCTCCTTATGGAGTATCGAGAAGCTGCACAGCCACCTAGAAACGTCCACAGAGGGACTTGGTCTGAAATGTCACCCAGTTCAGAGACTGTGAGGCAGTGACAGGCGAGTGGCCCTCAGAGCGATGGTGAGAGAGCTGGTTCCTACAGGCATAACTGCCACGATCCTCACTTGGACGACGGCCCAGGGAGAACCCAATTGGGGCGGACGCTTTTTGATCTGGGAACTGGGCAAGATTCTTTCAGCCAATCCGTTAGAGAGGTGCTGCTGACATCACTGGCCGCGCTCCAGTCGACTTCTGATGTCATCCCGCAGCGCCGGAAGCGGCGAGGCACAGATGAGTAACGTGAATTTGTCCGTGTCCGACGTCTGGAGGTAAGGCGGTGGTCAGCCTATCTTCTCTGCTGGCTGGGCTCAGTGCCGCGGGTGAGCGTTAGGCCGAGGCTGCTCCTACCCTTGAGTGATGTGCCTTGAATGACGCTGCTTTCATTCGCTGCTCTCGCAGCTGCTTTCTCTGTCCTCCCGTCCTACTCCCTTGGGCTGTTTCAGCGGGCGCTCCTGTTGGTCTTCGACCCACTTTGTGTTTGTTCACGTGTGCTTCCGACACCTGTACGTACCTTGCTCACAACACCAGCAGAAAAAATATTAGAGAGTAGGCCCTGGCCAACCAAGGAGGCGGCCCAGTTTGTCGGGAAGGACAGCGTTTCCGCTAGAAATGCTTCGTGAAAGGCACTTGAGGGACCTTAGCAGCATCCTCAACAGGCCTTGTAGGAATGCCAGAAGAAGCAATCCTTGGCCGGGCGCGGTGGCTCATGCCTGTAATCCCAGCACTTTGGGAGGCCGAGGCGGGCGGATCACCGGAGGTCGGGAGTTCGAGACCAGCCTGACCGACATGGAGACTCCCCGTCTCTACTAAAAATACAAAATTAGCCAGGTGTGATGACACATGCCTGTAATCCCAGCTACTCGGGAGGGCAAGACAGGAGACTCTCTTGAACCCGGGAGGCGGAGGTTGCAGTGAGCCGAGATCGTGCTGTTGCACTTCAGCTTGGGCATGCCAAGAGCGAAACTCCGTCTCAAAAAAAAAAAAAAAAAAAAGCCTTTCCCCATACATACCAGTGATAGTGGCTCAACATAGCAGGGATGAAATTTTTATTTGGAATTACTGTGGTCTAGGTTTGGAACTTTTTGGGATTGTTCATATGCGAGACAATACAGATTTGTGCTCGTTCTTCTTATACAGTTATTGCTTTTCTTTCTGTCTTGTCTTGTCTTCTCTTGTCTTTTTGAGACAGAGTCTCACTCTGTTACCCAGGCTGGAGTTCAACGGCACGATCTCGGCTCACTGCAACCTCCGCCTCCCGGGTTCAAGTGATTCTCCTGTCTCAGCCTCCCAAGTAGCTGGGATTACAGGCGTGTGCCATGACGCCTGGCTAATTTTTTGTATTTTTAGTAGAGATGGGGTTTCACCACAGTTATTGCTTTCAAATGATCTTTTTATATGTCCACAGCTCCTGCTTGCCCTACCTTCACTATTAACAACAGCAATAATAGTGTTGAATGCTTTTTATCAGACACTGAGCTTTACATACTTTGTCCTTTAGCTCTTGTGACAATCCCATGGTGCAGAGCAATTGTTAATACCCCTTGACACTTGAGGGAATGAAGACTTGGAGAGGTTAAATAACTTGCCCCAAGTCACACAGCGAGTAGGTGGTAGAACCAATATTTGAATTCAAGCAATCTGACTTCAGAGGCCTTGATCTTCGCCACTGTTCTATATTGTTTTTCTTCGACTGTCCGTTAAGTTCCCAGACACCTACTCTTTGTTACCTTTTATTTTATGGAGAAAATTAGGGTCATGAGACGTGCTTTCCCTCACATTTCTGCCTCTGCTTTCCTTTTTAAAGTCATCAAGATTTATACCCTTTACTTTTCCTTTTGTCTCAGAGGATGAATTGTCTTTCTAATCAAAGCAATTTCTTTGTATTTGCTTCTGATATTTTATGCTGTCACTTATGATACCTTGTTTTCATTTGTCATTTCTGTCTTCCAGTCATGTATAAACAAGGCCAGGTTTCTCAGATCTCTGACAATTCCCCCTGCCGAAGAAAGAAAAAGTCCTTGGTGATCCATTTTAACTTTAGCTGTCATCCAATAACTTTCTTTCCCTTTATATCTAAACTGTTTTAATGAATATTCTAAACTCTGCCTCCATTTCCTCACCTTTTGTTTCCTTCTGTATCTAGCTCTCAGACCCATCATTCCCCTGAAATTTCACCCCAAGGTCACCAGTGACTGATTATCAAACCAGGTAGACATTTTCCAATTATTGCTGGATCTCTTTGCTGCTTTTGGAACTTGGTCATCCCTCTTACTCCCTTCTTCTTTGCTTTACATGTCAGTGCTCTCAGATGATTTATTCAACAAGTATTGATTGGGATACAGAGATGAACAAGGCAGATAAAGTGTTTTCTCTTAAGGAATTTACATTCTAGCTGTTCTTCATGTGCCTTTCTTACCAGTCATTTCTGCTATGGGTAGTCATTTTCCTCCTTCCCTAAATGTTGGGTGTTTCTGTTGTTTGTTACTTTGGCATATGAGCAATGAAAAACCGTTATTTTCATTCTGTACACATTGCCTGAGTGAACCCATCAGCTGGCTTGGTTTTAACAACTTCCTACATGCTCCCAAATTGAAGTTGTCAGCTTAGACCTCTCTGAGCTTTACCCTCACCTCTGACTATCCTGCTGGACATCTCTGCCTGCAAGTCCCACAGACACTTCAAATTCAGATGACTGAAACTGAACTCAGCGTCTTTCCTGGACTTAACTCTTACCACATTCATCACTAAGTCCTGATAGTTTTAGCCGCTAAACGTCTCTCAAATCTATGCAGTCTTCTCCATCTCTCTGTTGTCCTTTTATCTGCGATATCATGGCCTTCTAACTGATGTCCCTGCTTCTAGGCCTATTCCCCCATATCTGTTCTCCACAGTATTCCCCTCCACTCCCAGATGGTCTTTGGAAACAAGTCTGCATCAAATTCCTGGTTAATCTTTAAAGATCTGTCCATGCATTCATCCATTCTTTTCTCTAATTCATTCAGCAAACATTCATTGTCTATTGGCTTGCAAAATCCATTGAAAGTTCTCAAGTTTGAGCTTCTCAGCCAGGGCTCTGCCTCATCTGAACCCTGCCTGTGTCTCCAGCCTCTTCTCTGCCTCATGCTTTAGGTTCCTGCTCACTGAATGGCATCTTCATGGGTACTGTGCTATTTCTTCTTTGTGTATTTGCCCTTGTTCTCTTTGCTTGGAATCTTCTCCCTGTTTCCTTTCTCCACCTCCTCCTCCTCACCTAATTAGGCTGCTCCTTTTCACCTAATTAACCCAGTTTATAAATGGGACTCATTTATAAAGTTTAGGTCCACCTCGTCCAGGAAATTTTTTCCTGACACCTCCTTCTTCCCAGTCTCGGTTGGGTACTCCAGCATTATGCTTCCACCCTTTGTACAGAGCAAATTTACCACATCATATTTACCACATCTACTATTAATATAATTGTTTCTGTGTTTCTCTCCTCTACAAGATTTAGTGTTTTATAGATGAGGTCTTGGTGTGTTGCCCAAGCTGGACTTGAACCCCTAGGCTCAAGTAATCCTTCTACCTCAGTCTCCCAAGTAGCAGGGACTACAGGTACGTGCTGCCATGCCTGGCTAAGACTGAGTTTTTTGAAGGCTGGGCTCATATATTATCTCTTTATTCCCAGCACTAGAATGGCACAAGGTACACAGGAGTGTAGTAATTTTGACTGAATGATCAAATGAGTGAAGCCAAAAGTTATTATGCAGTGGTTAAGAATCCATTCTTTGGAATTCAAATCGTAGCTCTGGCACATATTGGCTATGTTACTTGAACATGTTACTTATCTTCTCATCCTTAATTTTCTCTTCTTAGAATGGAGTTGTGAGTATTAAAATGAGACCATGTAAGTAAGACATTTAGCATAGTGCCTAGCACATAGTATGCACTTGATAAAGGTATGCTGAAAACCAGGGAATCCTGAAGTAAAGGCCAGGCCTAGCCTAGGACAGTGATCTCCAGAAACCCCCCTCATTGTTTTGTGAATGCGTAGACAGTGATGCAGTCTGTTAGCAGGGAGATTATAATCTTGTTTGGAAAGTAGAATTACATCCACATTAAACATTCAGAGAACTGTGAGGGTAGTTTGTCCACATCCAATAATAAGATGTAGCGAAGAGAAGACAGCTCAGTGAAGGCCTTAGGGAGGAGGTGAGGCTTGAAAGTTAAATAGGATTTGGATTTTAGGAGAAAGGAATACCAGGAGACCATATTAAGAATGACTTAGGCCGGGCGTGGCTCCTACCTGTAATCCCTGCAGTTTGGGAGGTCAAGACAGGAGGATCGCTTGAGGCCAGGAGTTTTAGACCAGTATAGGCAACATGGTGAGACCCCATCTCCATAAAAAATAAAATAAATTAGCAAGGCATGGTGGTGTGTGTCTGTAGTCCCAGCTACTCAGGAGGCTGAGGCTGGAGGACCACTTTAGCCCAAGGAAGTTGAGGCTGCAGTGAGCTGTGATGATGCCCTGCACCCAGCCTGGGCAACAGAATGAGACCCTGTCTCAGAAAAAAAAAAAAAGTGATTTATTTGGGAGACGCTGTTCAGTATATTATACCTGAAGGGTATACATACAGGCATACCTCGGAGACATGGGTTTGGTTCTAGACAACTTCAATAAAGTGAGTCACATGAATGTTTTGGTTTCTTAGTGCATATAAAAGTTACGTTTATACTATACTGTAGTCTGTTAAGTGTGCAATAGCATTATGGCTGAACAATGTACATACCTTAATTAAAAATACTTTGCTAAGAAATGTATCAGTCACCGGAGCCTTCAGTGAGTTGTGATCTTTTTGCTGATGTTGGGCGGGACTTGCCTTGATGTTGGTGGCCGCTGACTGATCAGGGTCACGGTTACTGAAGGTTTGGATGTCTGTGGCAATTTCTTAAAATAAGACAATAAAGTTTGCCGCATCGATTGATTTTCACAAAAGTTTTTCTATAGTAAGTGATGCTGTTTGATGACTTTTTTTTTCTTTTTGTCTCATTTATTTTTTGAGCCCAGTTTATGGATTTTTATAGCATTTTACCCACAGTGTAACTTCTTTCAAAAATTGGAATCAGTCCTCTTAAACCCTGCCGCTACTTTATCAGCTAAGTTTATGTCCTGTGTTGACATTTCTTTTTTTTTTTTTTTTTTTTTGAGACGGAGTCTCACTCCGTCACCCAGGCTGGAGTGCAATGGTATGGTCTCAGCTCACTGCAACCTCTGCCTCCCGGGTTCAAGCGATTC